CTTATATTAGGGCTCTTGTTAGTGCCAGGGCACAGAATATTTACTCCTTCGGGAGTTACGCACCGGACTATCTTTATTATTTGGGCGGGGTGTGCTTATTTCCCTGTTCCATTAAGGTGGTCGTATAAGTAATGTTTCCTGCTGCCTTAGCTCAACAGAACTATCCTAAGTAATATGCTTTCACCTGTTAACTATCAGGTAAGTGATTGAAGAAGAGAATGGCGCCGACTTTGATCGAAATGTGTCAATGGTTTCATCACAGTGTTAATGGCGACTTATGTACATCGAGGACAGAGTGTGGTTCTCAAGACTTAAAATACGAGTTACATATGCGACTCGAGTTTCTGAAAATAAATATTCTAACTTGCTCCTGGATTGCTAGATGTATATTAAGCGTAGCTCTGTATGTCCTTCTTCGTCTTCTGGTCTATTACTTCGATACGAAATTTTCTCGCTCTCTAATTACTTAACGCGCTGCCGTTCTAGACACCCTGACTGAGGAATTCAGCAGCTACACTAAAGCCATAGAAAGAAAACGTGGGGACGCCAACAGATCGTCACTCCTTCAGAGGGTGCACGAAATCAAATCACAGTCAAGACTCCCCAAAGATCCAGAGCGGTACGCACACAACTACTCCTCTCTGACACTTGATACAACTTCACTTCAAGCATTATCACTGGGTTCAAATTCTGCATGCGTGGTCAAAAGGTCAATTAGTTAGAATTAGAAACCCAGTTTGAGAATTTATATAATCAAACTTACGACCTCAAGCCGATCTCCGCAGATAGTGTCCAGTACTTCAAATCAACACTGGTGAATTGTAGCTACCAGTACTTGAACAGGAAACTAACAAATCGCAGACTACTGACAAAAGCACACGTGGACAAAATGAAACAGCTACCAGAAAACAAAGACATCTTGGTTCCTAGACCAGACAAATAAAGGGGCGTCGTTCTGATGAACAGATCGGACTACGTAACTAAAATACAGGCCATATTATCAGATCAGACGAAATTTAAGAAAATAGACAGAGAAAAAGATATACAGATGAGGTAGAGTTACAGCTTTTAGGTTGCTTAAGAAGACTCCAAACGGCAGGACTCATAAGCGACCGTGACCATTAACACCTGCCGCCAGTACACTCTCGTTTGTATGGCCTATCTAAGATCCACAAAGACGGCCTGCCAGTTCGTCCGATTTTGGACATGCGGAACTCGCCATATCATGCGACAGTGAAGTGGTTGGCACAGAAACTCAAACCCTTGCAGCAGCAGTTGGCACCACATAGCTATCAAGATATGTCCCCATTTATCGACGGTGTCAAAGATATGAACTTAAACGGCATGATGGTGCTCTCCCTAGACGTCCCGTCGCCGTATCGCGAACCTTCCAAGCAGCGAAAGTTCGAGTGTTATTCTCAACCAACCCGGTTCTGCATGGCGAAGGTAAGGATAGGCTGC